AATTCCCATAGCAATATTTAAACGATTTAAAAACTTCCCCAACCTTTCTTTGATCTGGCGCAGACACATTGTCACGGTACGTGTACATCAAACTTGTTATGGTCATAAAGTAATCATGCCTTTTCCTGGATTCAAATGTCCAGATTTTTTTGAAATGAAGGATGACAGAATTTGGAAAGTCAGGCGTGCAGGTAAGACGTCTCACAGGAAGGAGATGGCTACATTCACCATGACAGTAGAAGGTATCATTGAAGCGGGTGTGAAGAGTGGCATCCAAATCGAAGTTCGAAGTGCCCTCATGAATGTTACAAGGTAATCAAATAGGTTACATGAATTGTAAAACATGAATTGTAACTCTGTGGGTGACCACTTCTTTGGGAATGCGATCCCGATAGTTGTGCATAGATGCGTGTGTTTTCGTTGCTTTCCATGTTCATTTTGTAGCCGCTGCACTTCGGACTTCTTGTGCCTTACTCTAGTTTGCTGTGTCTTTGGTAGTCATTACTATACAGTCGTGTCTTGACCAGTGACGTCAGAGGTAAATTATGTTTGCTTGTTTAAAGGAAACAAGATGTGCAAACTGACCTGAGTAGGTGTAGGCATGGCATGAATGTTCAGTTTTTTCTTTTTATTGAGAAACTCGACGCTGATGAATTTGCACTGACCGCTGGCCAAAGCATACATTACACGACCGCGAGTGTAACATTGAAAAAAAAATGCTACATACACCATGATCTTGGATATTCATTTTTTGTACTGCTACATGTAGCGAACTGGTCAAGCAATATTTAATACAAAGCAGGTGTGTATCATTGACGGTTGCGCACTCTTGTGATTGCGATGTCGCCTGTCCACGAGAAATGGTGGGACCACGGTGAATACCTGTTAACTGCATATATACACCGCTGTCTCCTTTGCATTACTGTGTACGTGCTCATTGTTTTCACATACGTTGACTTGGTTTCCGCTAAAATCAAAACAAATTACCTTAATTTCTTCCTCACAGAACATGCTTTGTAACAACGGCGGCAATTCATTCGACAATTGAGAAATTTTCTTCGGAGTTGACACAATCATTTGGAAGCCAAGGTGAAGGTGCGGGTAGCTTATTCCACTCCTTCAGTATGGCTGAACTGCGCAACTTCTTCATGCAGGAAATGAGAAGCTATTACGAGTAAGATTGTTAGTTTTCCGTTAAATGTAGTTGAAACAGCCCAATTAAGCCACGTTTACAATTTAACCAATGTTCAGTGTAATGTGCACCTGGATACTTGTACACAAGGCTGTTATCAATTTCCCCCGTTATTTTGAAAATAGAGCTTTCATTATTGATTGCTCAGAGTTAAAAAGGTAAGATCGAAACATTCTAAAGTGTTCTCACGTGTTCCTGTTAGCATGTCTGCGAACACAACCAATCATTGTAGTCGAAGTTAAAGCAAAATAATGATCTAATTAAGGACTTATCCTTGTGAACGCTTAGATGACTTATGCATCAAGGAACACGTTGATTTCGACTAGTGCCGCAAAGTCCCAGTCAGAGAATGTGCATCGTTTGTCCATATGTCCGACACTGATCCACAAAGCCGAATTCTGTAAGGGTGTGGGTAATTTTGTGCTTTCAACGAGTAAAATCACAGAAACAGAAAGTCGATTAAGGTGGACAAGGTTCGGCGTTATTGGGGAGTGGTCTGTGTGGTAATTTTGAAAAGAATGTTAATATTTAACTTCAGATCCTCTGCTCTACTAGACTGTTTGGAGTCCTTGCATCAAGCTTGTGTTTACGCATTGCTGTTATTTGCCTGTCCGAGAGAAACTATCGCTGAGCTACAAACTTGCACGTTATTATGAACAATACATCTCCAACAACCTAAACGGCTTTATCCTAAGAGAGTGCTATCTCATGAAATGTCCCAATATTCTGTTTTCTGTGACGTCTGAAAGAATCGTCGTTGTTGGTAACAAATCTTTATACTATTACTATCCGATTCTGCTTTGGAACAACCGAGGGATACTTGTAAGACTTGTATAATTCAGTTTTCGATATTCACGGCATGTCATGAGCTGGCCTGGAATGATTTTTTCCACCCAGCGCCCTGACTCAGACGCCAGGTGAGGAGCGCATGGTCTGAACATTATTTCTTCAAAATCGTTGAAAAAATACACCTAATATTTTACAAGTTTTACAAAGGAATAATTATAGTAAATCATTATGACCACTTACCTAATTAAAAACATTAGTTAATATTTTTGGGCGCTTTTAATCAGAAAAACGTTCACGGATAAAATTTAACTAGTACTTTGTTGAGGGTACCGTACATTTACTTAATATTTATCTCATTCACCATTTTTGGAGTTTGATTATATTTCACTTTTTTGAGATTGAATGTCAAATAGTGGTAAACGTAAACTTTCGCGAGTCCTTGAAATTACCAATATTGGCGGGCTGTAATCGTGTCCTTCGGTGGCGTGGCCTTTTTTTTTTGTCAAATTTTTCCGGCGCCCCCTCGCGTTGCATCATATCATTAAGTCCTTCCATATTTCTCTTCAGTCTCCCTGGACTGGTTTCCTTCTTTTTTAATACACGAGTAGAGTCATTGTAAACGGGAAACTGTACACACAGGAAGCTTAATGGAGCGCGAGGTGAACCGCAGTTTACACTCCTGCAGGCGCGACTTGCCGGCCGCCGCGGCAGCAGAGTGTATACCCAGCAAGAAATGAGACCGAGGGGTATCCCCCAACATGTCCAATCCCTATACACATGCCAGACTATTGTTACGTAATACATCCCCCCCATGATGTCTGAAAGGAATTCCACAGATTCTTGCGAGTCAATGACCAACACAAAGCAGGGGGGGTTCTCTCCGTCTCATACCTTGCTGCATATAGCAGAGTGGACTGGAGGTTAGTGCAGGCAAGGTGCGGTGTTTCGTGATTCATTCCATCTTTGGAAACATTTTCTGCGTCATAACCGATGTGCAAACAGCGGCGTATGTCCAAAACATTTAAGTGTATTGAGAATAGATATTTACAACTAAACAAAAAAGAGTGAGTAGCAGAATTCGGTATATTAAGCAAGATATGCGGGGACGGAGAGCACCCCCCTCACTTTAGTGTTGGTCATTGTTTGATCGGAATCTCGCCTTCTCGGGAATTTTTTAAGACATTTGGGTGAATTTGTTAGGTAACAATAGTCAGCAGTATGTATAGGGATAGGGCAGGTAAGGGGGGGGGCCCTCCGTCCCTTATCTTGTTGGGTATAGTAATACTCTCTCTACCTCCCTATCTCTTTTGTTTCTGTGTTCAATGTAGGAGATGCAAAGCAGATAATATCAATATACATAAGCTGGCAGCAACCTGTGTCGGTAAGCAGCCAGGAGAAGATACATGGGTGTTGTCCCCAGACGTTCAATTGGACAGGGATGGAAAAAGTATCTCTCGCTACAACCAAAGCCATGTCTGGGTCGACAGCATTTTGTCTGGGTCGCCAAACAGCAGATCCCTACAGCTTCCACAAGCCTTCAAAGACCCTGAGGGTGCCCTTCATGAAATTTTTGATGTAATAGAAAGAACTCTCCATGAAAACGCTTTGTCTGCATTTTTTGCTATTGGTGAGTTTGTTGTTTATTTCCTCATTGTCGGGTAAAAACTAATCAATTCACCACTGAGAGAATTTATTACGTATTGACTGTGTCGTTCAAGTGAATTAAGGATTGGTTAGAAAAAATGTTCATAACTGTGTGTGTCCCAATGTGAGGGCAACATGACTCACATCAATTTCACCAATTTCCTATAAACCCAACCATGATTCTGCAAATTTGCGAGTCCCAGGAACTGTAACAAAGTTGAAAGACACTGACAGGAATAGAGAGATACAACCAAGTGGATACATTTTGAGAAAATGTGCATCTCCCCAGAAAAGATGAGCAAGAAACTGTTGCGATATCCAACATTCAACACTATGTGGCACAGGGACAGATGCATCACTGGTTGTGCATCAGAAGAATTTTTTATACAGTCTAATTTAACATTTACCTGTTTCAGCTGTCGGTACCTTTATCATGTTGTAAATTTGATTGTTAAAAATACGTAGGTGTGTCCATATACAGGTACACGCCATGTTGTGTGATTCTGAATTGGATCTTTGGTGGCACTATAATTTTTGTAAGGAATTTGCCCAACACAAGACCCCAAGTGGGTCCTCAAGGTTAAGTTAACCAGAAGATAAAGAACAAGTCAAAGAAGAGACTGAGACATTTACAATTGTTTTGAAAAGTGGAACCCATTGATAATTATAGACTCTTTTGTTTACCATGAATCTCTTACAGCCAGTGTGTGTATGTGCATGCACTACGAGACAGTGGTGAAAACTTTCAAATGCTGTCCTATACCAGTGATTGTCGGAGACGTCAATACAGGTTTGTTGAGAATCGGCAACCTATACACACCTTGCCTTGTCACAAGTTATGTCCTACCTGTAAACATGGGTTTTGCCCACAAATTGACAAAGTTTATGAAGCACAGTTGATGGCGTGCTTCTCTCAGACCTTAAAAAATCACAAATTAGATTTGGATGAGGGTTGAAATTATCTCCCGCAGATGTCTTGGGTTAGAATCTCACCTGAATAGTCTTCGTTTTTTATATGAATGTGCGTGACAAGCATTTATAGCACATGTACAGTTTTCAAGATTTATTTTATTGCGTTGGCGGGGGAGATGTCAATTTATATAACGGGGTTATGCCCTTACCCAACGTACGTACCCAGCCGGTGTCGGCTGGCCGTTCTGAGTCAGTTCGCGGTACCCGCAGCTTCACCTTGACCCTTGATCACCAATAAGCATATTTCCCTATCTGCAAACTACTTGTGAAAACTGCTAGAAGGTGTGTGCCCGCGTTAACCCATCTTCTTGAAACGCTGTAAATACACCACATGAAATACATCAAGTGAATCATTCAGTTCTTAACTTATACTTGATACTTAGGAAAGACTACTGCCTGTCGGATGGCGTCCTGCATGATGGGAACCAATAACCGCATACTCGGTTATGCCAGAGATCGTTACCTGCCAAAGCAAACGTCAGCTTCTTCATTCCCAGTACTGATTGATGACGTTGAGGGGAAGGACATCGAGCCATTGATGACAAGATATTTTAATGGCGGTGTTGATGCTACTTGTGCGGGTGAAAAACAGCCATTGACTTGTCCGGTGATAACTGCAAATTGGTTTGCAATGGATAAACTTGCCGGTAATGTAAGGTAATAGAAATGCATTGCAATTTCATACACGGGGTGTCTAGAAAGAAAAGAGTAATTTTATTTTAACTGGGTAATCACCGTCTGTACCATACATCCTGACATCCCCTGTTAGTGGCAATAATAATTTCTTGTTCCTGCACGGGCAATCGTATATTTTGTGGCGTGTTAAAAATGGCTTGGAACCAAATGGATTCTCTTGAGCTGAAACTGTACCACACCTGCATAGATGACTTTATAATACGAGAAATGCATTGCAGGTTTATCCATTTAGAATGTACAAGAAGCACTACGTATACACCTCGAAAGTTGGGGGAAAACAAAGAATGATTGTTTTTTCCCTATCAATTAATAAACGTGCTTCAGTTTAAAAGTTTTGTCAGTTAAGTTCAGTTCTTTGTGTAATGTATTTGAATGAGAACATACAAACGTGTGCCTCGCTGGTCTTAAACAGTGATACTTGATTCCAGCTGAGCTGCCGGAGATTAATATTGTCAACCCAGAGATCGGCCAGGCAATCGACTCTCAACCAACAAGCATGGTCACGCTGTTTGTTTGAACATCACACATTCAATTAAACTGGTAATCTAGGGTCTGTTTTTCCATTCAACATTTCAAAGCTGCATATTGGCCCTGTATTGTATCAGAGGCTATAAAAACAACATTTTCCAAAAACATGGTTGTATAACGAATGCCTATTCAGCACACATTACATGGTTTGTTTTCCAGAGCAATGTCAAGGGCGGTAATGATCCCCTTCGTCAGAACAAGCAGGAAGAGTGGCCATCTCCAGAGTACCGCTGAGCTGGAGAGGAGTCACATTGAGGAGAGGGCGTCCCATGCTCTACCCTCTCTTATCAGCCTTGGGAAATCTATCACTGAGAATAGTTTGACTATCCTCAGTGACTACAGAGCAAAGGTCAAATCAGCGACAAAGGGAATGGACTGTGAAGACCGCATATTTCTATGTTACGGTCTTCTTCTTTTCCTCACAGAGGCTGTAAGTTTGTTGCCACAAATAAAATAAATTTATAAAATTCTCAATGATCACTCTTACTACACCCACTGCAAATTGACTAGCTTTCGAAGCCAGTGCAAGGCTTCAATTTTTAGACAAAGATATCAAACGATAGCTTCAATGAAATCTGTAATTGTAAGATATACTCTAGGATGTTACCCTGGAGGTGATGGCATTATGTAACTTTCCATAAAGAAATTTCATTAAAGGGATATTAATTGAGTACCAACAATCTTCCATTTCTAGGTCTTCGTGTATCAAACATTTAAGTTTCGTGTAACTCAATTTGTTGCGTTGGTATACATTGATCATTCGTTTTAGAAATGCATGCATTCCTGGATTACAAAGGATTCTGGCAAGAACAATCGCATAGTGGAGGGTCAGCAAATTGTTTTTCATGCAATGAATTGGAGATGGGATCGACGCTGTTGGCTGATCAGTAGGGGTGGGATTTGTGTTTTCGTGGTTGCATTAAGAAGATTGTGATACTTCCCAAGTACACATTCGCTCATGTAATACTGATCACAATATAAACTTAAGGGCTGTTGTCGAATCAATTATTAGTTATAGTTCTTCCAGTGTTGTACATGTTGGAGTAAATACCTGACTCTGGTTTCAGCTTATTGACAAGGCTCGACTGGAGAATGTTGCAGTAGAGGCTGCTGAGATTCACCTCCGGGAGGTTATCGTCCCACATGCTATACGGAGATATCAGGCACTTCCTGACGTGGATCACGAATTTGCTTCCCTCGCCTCACAAGGTCATGTCCTTGACATACCAAGTGTCATCATGAAGTTGATAGAGGCAGCCCCCGTTGGAAGAGTGAGCTGAAATTCTGCTTTCTATAGAAGATTATCTAATTGCCTAGTTTGAAATTTTTGTAATTTAGTAGTCACAATTACTGACAAATTAAATGTATATTAATTCAATAACAGATAGAGTATATAGATGATTTTTAGAAAATTCCACATCATTTCAGCTCCTTATGGCCATCAATCCTCGAGTTGAACTGAAATTAGAGGACAGAGCTTCATTGGGCCTTGCCTTCCATCTCAATGAATTGATCTCCATTATGGATGAGCACTCCATTCAGCACCCAGGGAAAGTAGTATGGAGAAGTGCAATTAAGAAGGACAACATGGTAGTTTCAAAAGTGCAGGCTTTCTTCAACACGGATCCAGAGCATGTGACAATCAGCAGGTCCCGCTTAAACACAACCAAACCGAAGAACCGCCTGTCAACCTTCATTCATGTGGAACGATTCAGTGTTGAGCAACGGAGGCGACTGGAAGAGGGTAAGTTTGCGTGTTGCAATTTTGTTGATTTTGCAAGACACTCAAACTCGAAAACGTCAAACAGAACCTGGTTCATTGTGCATGTAAACTTTAACTTAAAATAAATATGTGCTTAAATGTGGAAGGCACATTTCGTTAATTTCTTTTTTGCGTACTTTCAAGACTATTTAAATAGAAATTTTTTGGCATCTCTTGTATGAGATACTTTACTCAGTATTATTTCATTGACAAACGCTGATTAAACAACCCCACGAAATTTAAAGTTTAATAGAACCATTGTCACAAAATCAACTAGTGTCTATTTGTGTGTTCAAACGACAGTGTTCAAAGTACAAATCTTCACAAAGGATGGAAAACCAGGTACGGTTTTATTTAGTGACAAAATAAAACCAGTTTCATAGTTCCTTGAGGTTTGTTTATTTTGGCATATACCCCTATGTAGCAGGCTGGAGTAACTATAGTTGCGATGTATATGGATACTGATAGAGATAAAGGCGCTAGTATTGACTCTTTACTTAGTTCCGGGAAAAAGATTTTCTTTTGTTAATGATTCTTAGCATCTGATGTATTTTAAGACCCTAAAAGGGTTTGGTAATAGTATTGAATGATGTGATCTGTTTTAAATCGCATGCATAACCAAAACATGTTCTTGTAAAGCACTCGTGTCTGACTTGATAAATGTAGTTGTTCATGAATTCCTACACCCACTTTAACCTATCTTTCAACTCCTAGTTGGGCAGCAAGATCCCACCCAAATCTTGTTGACTTGATGAGGAGTAGATTAATGTGGTTGGTTTGGAAATTCCAAATCATGGAAAAACTGGTAAATAAGTATTGTTTCCTTAATTTTTTTCCAGGGGAAGCAAGATCGCAATCAGATAACGGTCAGTACTTGTTGTTGAAATGATTACTTCTTGGTCATGAACCCCTAAATTGTGAAACAACCTGGAAGAAGCAGTACTTCATTCAATGGTCTTTTCTTATTTTCCATTTTTACAGAGGAACCAAGATCTCAATCACATCTGAGTAAGTACTTGTCGATAAATTGATTAATTTTGTTGCGTTACAACCACCAAACTGTGGAACAACCTCTTTCAAAAATTGCTTCATTAAAATGTCTCCTTTTTTTCCAGAGGAAGCAGGAGATACACCAGATATCGGTAAGCACATGTACTTGTCTCAGAATTGATTAATGATTATGTTGCTTTCAAAATCACAAATTGGGGAACAACCTGCTCAGAATTAGGAATAACCTACTCCATAATTAAAAGGTCTGTACTTTTCTTTCCAGAGGAAGCAAGATCCCAATTGGACCCCGGTAAGTATTTGTTGCTAAATTCATTAATTTTTGGATTTTAAAACTCCCACATTGTGGAAATACCCTTTAGAAAAGTGCTTTATTAAACTGTCTTATCGTTTCTTTTCAGAGGAAGTAAGATCCCAATCAGATATCGGTAAGTACTTGATGCTGAATTGATTAAATTTGGGCTTATAAACCCCCAAATTGTGTAACAACCGTATTGGGTGAGTGATTGTTTTCAAATTTCTTTCATTTCCATTTTTCAGTTGAAGCCATAACCCAACCAGATCTGGGTAAGTGTTTGTTGCTGAATTGATTAATTTTTGTGTTATAAATTCCCAAATTGTCGAACATACAGATTAGAAGAGTGCTTAATTTAAATGTCTTTTCTTTTCTTTTTCAGAGGAAGTAAGATCCCAATCAG